TGCACATACAAGAAAACAGCTTTTAAATAGCTGTCCACTGTGGTGCCCAATGTGCGTGAAAGGGCTAGGTGTCGGATATCTAGGCGCACAGCATACCAACATGACTACTGTTTTGTTTTCCTGTCTTAAACCCTTTATTATTTCACTTGCTATTCTTAGTACATGTAAGAAGAATGCTGCACCATAAAACAAAGTACGTTAAGCACAGTGATTAAGCATCCACACACTCTCTTGGCTGCTCTTCATTGGCTTCAGTGATCACTCACCCTCTAAGGAACATCCTAAAGTAAACACAGTACTCTCTGGTGATCACAGTGGAGAGAGATGCTCAGTTTTCAAACATTTCGCAGTAATCCACTTTCTTGGTTAAACATAATCCTGTGGTTTTACACAGACTTTAATCATTGTTAAAGTCCTACAGCAATTTCAGACAGTTTGGTCTGCATGTGTACCATTGATGTAGCTGTAGAATAACATGTATGTAACTATTAGACCATATATACAGTATGTGTATAGGAAAATTGACCAAGTATTTAAATCTGCTGTTTCTTCTTGTATTATTCTGTGTGTGTTTGAGTACCTATGTGATTGCACACAATATGTTGTGTATTTTGCTCGATAATCTTATATGATGTATTTGGTGTTTTTGTGACTTTCTCCTATTTTCCTCTGTATCCACAATCTAGCATGTAAAATGCACTATCAAATAAGAAGCCTTGTTTAGGGACAAGCTCATCAGTCCATTCACGCTCGACTAATTCAGAGGCCTCTCTGTACAGTGTTGCCTGGCGACAGGGCCAAGTCGAGCACTTATAAATGAGAGACTTGCTCAAACACAGGAAAATGGATCTTAGTTCTGTCGCTGTGGGTCACTGTTTTTGTGCCAGAGTCAATGGAGTGATGTTGTTTGATTTAAATAGACCCGTTTGTCATCTTTGTTACAAATATGTCTTTGTGGAATGAACCAGTTCAGGGTAACTGCCCCTGATGGACAGTTTTGGTAGAGCAAACAGGCCTCTGAAGGTTCCTTGGCAGTGAGGGGATGCTATTTTAAATATATGTTCAATTTTTCAGAGTTAGTTTTTACTATTACCTACTTATGATGAGAATATGATACTAAACGCAGAGAGCAAATGACAAGCTACCCCTACACTTTCTAGTCACGATACAGTTTGAAAGAATACACAAGGGATGACAGCTCAAAGCCAAAAAACATTTGCAAAAGACATAAGGGAGCTGCCTTTGAAACAGCATGAAAGATCTGGGCTATATCCAGAACTGCCCCATCCAATTAGGATGATCTGACATTACAGAAGAGAGATGCAGGCTGTAGACTGCCCTAGAGTCTTCTTGGGGGGGAGTGAAGAGAACACCTCCTACATAGGTCAGCTGCTCAATTGTGTCTATGAAAATGTGTGGCAGCATGAAATGGCCAGTTGACTGATTTTGTAAAGTGCATTTGTTGATTTTAATGCAGAAAGGAGGTGAGAATATTTCAATTTCATTCTCTGCCATGACAGCTCACACCATGCGGGCCAAAGTTAAACCACTGAAAAATCATGCCAGCCTGTTATCTCGCTCTCGAAAGATAATGGTTGATATATGAGAGCAGATTAAAAAAAAA